TAATCAATTAAAATTATAAGGTTTACACCTATATTCATAGCAGCACAATTTTCCGTAATTAAGAGGTGGAAGCAAGCTAAGTGTTTATCAGCCATGAAGGAGTAAACAAAATGAGGAACTTCCATGGAATGGAATAGTACTCCACCTGAAAAGGGTATAAAATTCTGAGGTATGCTATAGCAAGAGTATTGTTAATAGCCAGCCACAATAGCATAGATCTGCAGGATTACACTTATACGAGTTGTTTAGAGTTATCGCTTTCACTGTGAAGCAATGGAGAATTGTGGTAGCCACATATTGGGCAGGGATGAAAAGAGGCTTCCTTTAGGGTTATAAACATTCAATTTTGCAAGGTGAAGAATTTCAGAGATTGCACAGCAATGAGAATATATTTAAAATTAATTAACTATAAGTAAAATGATTTAGATGGTGCATTTTATATGGTATATATTTACCAATTAAAAGTATGGTACTTTGATTAATTTTCCTCCTTAAAAATTTTCCTTCTTAAACAAATGTTACATGTTTATTTCTCTCTCAAGTAAAAGAACTGTAAGCTTTGTAAAGCCCTTTCCATTCTAAAGACCTTTCAACTGTCTATCTGTTGTGTCTAGAAAGAGGCCTTTCTTCCCACCCTCTAGTACCCTCCCCAGGAAGACTGCCAGTCCACATTATGAGGAGAGAGGAAAAGGCAGCAAACACCTTTCTGCGGAAGGGCTTGTTCTAAGGATGAAACATCTCTTCTGCTTATACTCCATCCACCAGAACTTACTGGTCAGAAGAGCACATGGGAAATGTAGTTTTCAATTGGACAACCACGTATTCAGTTGAAATCCCTATTAGTGTATAAAAAGAAGAAAACATTGGGTGGCAGGTAGAAGTTTTTATCATTGTTTTGGATCCTTGCCTAATAAATGCATGCAATTTTCAAACAATCCCTAAAATGAAGATATATTTATCCCCATTAATGAGACAGGAAAATTGAGACTGAAAGCCCTTTAGTAGCTTGCAGTAACAATGTTGTTCAGTAAGAATTTCCTGTTCACCTTGGACTCACATATCTCCTTGAGAAGTTAGAGTGTATAGATCTGCTGTGTGACGGTTTGTGTCCACCCCATGAAATCCATGTGTCAACACCTAATTAACAATGTGCGGGTAGTGGGAATGGGGGGCTTTGATGTGATTAGCTCTCCTGAGTGGGAATATTTTCCAGAAAGAGAGAAAGAAAGAGAGAAAGAAAGAAAGAAAGAAAGAAAGAAAGAAAGAAAGAAAGAAAGAAAGAAGGAAGGAAGGAAGGAAGGAAGGAAGGAAGGAAGGAAGGAAGGAAGGAAGGAAAGAAAGAAAGAAAGAAAGAAAGAAAGAAAGAAAGAAAGAAAGAAAGAAAGAAAGAAAGGGGGGAGGAAAGAAGGAAGGAAGGAAGAAGGGAAATAAGGGGGAAGAGGTTTCAGAGAGCTTCTTTGCTCCTTGGCACATAGCAGCACACAGCAAGGAGGTACAGTCTATGAGTGAGAATGTATTTGTACCCAGCACCAAGCTTATTGGGGTTAGGGTTTTGTATTTTCCAAGATCTGGAACTAAGAATAAATTTTTGTTGTTTCAAAGCCAGTCACTGTAGGGAACTTTATGATGGCAGCCTCAGCAAGATATGAACCAACTATGAACTTAGCTTTACTCATTCTGGATATTTACTTCCTTAGGTTACTTAGGCTCAAGGAAATTTAGAGTGATGAAAATTTTCTAAATAAGCCCTAAAAATGGGAAGGTCCATTTTGTTGATTTGCACACTAACCATAGCTAAAATCCATCAGGGAAGCTCTTACAGAACATTCCCGTATCTATATAAGAAGTCATAAAAATTTAAAGAATGTTTGAACCCTCCTTCTCTTCCAGAAAAAGTACACGCTGAGATTGACAGAGTGATTGGCCAGGGGCAGCACCCTAGCTTGGCCAACAGAGAGTCCATGCCCTATACCAATGCTGTCGTCCACGAGGTGCTGAGAATGGGCAACATCGTTCCTCTGAATGTTCCCAGGGAAGTGAGTGTTGATACAGCTCTGGGTGGATACCACCTGCCAAAGGTAAGCAGACACTCTCAGGCTTTGTCTTCAAGCCCGTCTTTGACCTCATCCTGGGAAATTATGAAACATGTTCCAGTCCTAAGGAATCACTTACATGAGCAGAGTGATATATCATATGTGATTGTCTTAATACCTGACATCCACAATTTAGGAAGAAAGGTTTATTTCTGCTCACAATTTGTAGAGGTTTCTATCCATGGTTAAGTGGCTCTGGGCCACAGTGACATGGCAGAGGTGCATGGTACCGGGGATGCAGCTCATGGCATGGTGGGAAGCAGGGAGAAATCAAGGGAGGAGACAGAAAGGCACAGCCATGCAGGTCATTCCCCCAGTAAGCCACCTCCCCTGAGTGTGGCGGTCCAGCAGTCACAACACGAACGTACCTGAGTTGGGGAGTAAGGATTGAGAAAGGACAACACACTCAATAGTGTGGAGACAAGAGGTCCGATTTATTACACAGAAACAGCTCCTTTTTAAGGCAGGCCAACAGGAAGCACCAAGCAACTATTAGGGAGGAGATCAGATCTTTGGCTATCCGAGTTCCTCCCATCACAAGGTCAAATTTAACAAAGTCCTTGAGCCGGGCGTGGTGGTACATGCCCATAATCCCATAAAACCAGTCTGGATTACAGTGAGCTCCAGGTCAACACCGGTAATCCCATAAACCCAGCCTGGATTACACAGTGAGCTCCAGGTCAATCTCATCTGCATAGCTGAGAACCTCATCTCAGAAAAGCCAAATAGAGTCATAGATTGTGTCAATGCCTCAATGGTAGAAGAAGTTACTTTTCCAATGTGAAATGCCAGTGGGCTCCCACACCTGAGCAGGCATCTGTAACCTGCCAGACATCGCTGGAAAATCTATGACAAAATCCTGTAGTTACAGAATGTTAAATGCAAAAGGACATTTGAGACACTCAGCTCTCCAGTCACTCTAACACTGCTGTTTCTAACATAATTTCCCCATTAGCATTACTTCTACTTTTACTTGCACCAAGGTGCTAGTCAATTACTTTTAAGAAAGGGAGCTGTGCAAGCAGTATTATGAAAATAGATAAAAAATTTTTTAAGTGACAATTATGTGTATTAGACAATTAGTCTGTTTAAAAATGTCATCGTTTTCAGGATAAATTTTCTTTTTATCTTGTAGATTTGGGTGAGGCTTGGGATAAATAATTTTGCAAAAGATCTCTGAACTACAAAATGACAATCTTGGGATCCAGAACCATCTCTTCGCTGATTATTTTCAGCACATAATGCTCCCTCACAGGACTTGCTTTTATCTGACTGTACAGTGATCTCCCCACTTAGTTTTTCTCCATTGGCCCATGTTGAATTTCCTGTCTTCATGAACAGAAGACATCTCATGCTACCTGCTCTTAAGATCTCCACACTCAGCTCCTCTGTGTCCCTGGCATCTTCCATCCATAAACACATTTAGGTGTCTCCCTGTGTTCTCTGGCAACTTCCCCATCCTGTGAGGATCTGTTCTAGTTTGTCTCAGTCCCTCTCAATAGGCTTTCCTCGGAAACCCTCTCCAGTGGTGGAACCGGGCAGCTTTCCCACTGAACACTGCTGGGCAGGGCCACTGCAGAGCCAGGAAGTCCTTCTGCAGGGGGGTGGAGTTCTGAACATGCGAGGTGCTCTTTGTATTGTTCTAACCATTCATCCACCTTCAGAGCACCAGGCCATCTCACTAGACTGCTTTTACCACTATATTTTAGTCCAGGTTTAAGAACCATCCTGGACACTGAGAAATCTGATTGCACCTAGGGCAGGAGCCATGGCTTTGATGCCAGACAAGCCTAGTGCAGGAAACAGCTCCGTCTGCTCACGCTCTGACTTAGAAAGTTGTCAAACCTCAGCTCTTCAGTTTCTTCACCTGTAAAATGCACTTAGATTCACCTCAGCCTCCACATGGAGGTAAGTGTGGTCTTACATGCAGAGCTTCATGCTCAGAATAGCAATTATTACCCTTTAGTAAGCCAACAAATATGCAGTAAGTATGTAGAACATTTGGGTCTGAAAACAACCCTGAGCAGTATAGGGATGGAAGCACCTTCTTGGAAATCATGAGCGGGCAAAGGAAAACTCGCTGGTTCTACAAAGATGCTCTCAGAATCCTCCAGCTAGAGGGACACATAGGAGCCAGATGACCCGCCGAGGTGAAGCTTTTGAAGGAAGTGAGTTTGGAAAGAACAATTCAAGAATGGCAAGAAGTTTATGAAAAGGTAAACAGAAGAACCTTTCTACAAGATAAGTAACATAGGATCATGGTCTGTTAGAACCACCAGAGAAAGTCTACCCTTATGAGAGCCCCGGTGTTATGGCTTGTATCTAGATGTCCCCAAAAAGGCTTTTTGGTATTTTGGAGGAGGCTGGATGTAGGGTGTGTGATGCTGGGATTAAGGATGCCCCAGCCTGAAAGTGAGTGCTACGTGCCCTGGGGGCCAGGAGCCTGAATGGAACAAGAGGGACAGAAGTAGGGATGCTGCCATCGCTTGCTGCTGCTCATCTTCTGCTGCCTCCTGCCCACTCTGTGAGGCCCCCCTGCCATGCCACCCTGCCTTAGAACCGGCTGAGTGTGGACTGAGACCTCTACAAACTGTGAGCTGCAATAAGCTTAACTGCTTTAATTTTGAGTGTCAGGTGTTTCGTCTCAGCAATAAGAACAGTGACTCAGACACCAGGCAACACAGAAAGGAGGGTCCTGGCGAATCAGAGGATGGGTTTGTGACCTCAGAGTGTCATTAAGCATTCAAGAGTATTTAAATATGAGGTGTGAGTACATGGGATGTGACATGATGAAGTCATATTCAAAGCACACTCAGCTTTCCAGATGTGGAGCAGATTGAAAGGGCTGGCAGCGGCATGGCTAGGAGGCATTATGGGAGTCTAGGAGCCTGTTCTGGGCAGGGAATGGAGGTGACAGAATGAACTGATATGTAAATTGTCCAGCCTCACTGGTGGGTCTGAGGGAAAGGCTCACTCCCCTGCCTCTGGGATTTCTGATCCTGGGGCTGGAGTTACAAACGTTCCTGGCCCTGGGCACCTGTTAGTGTTACTAACCCTGCTGTGAGTGGGAGAGCAGTTGATACTGGAGGGAAGAGACTGAAGAAGCCTGAGAGAAGGTGATGTCTCTCCCTCTGCAGAGTTGCTGTGGTCATCACACCTCTGAGGAGCTGGGAGATTTGGTCCCGGTGAGTGCTGACTAGCTGTCACACTGCTCTCTCCTCAATGCCTGAATGTCCATTCCTAATCCTACACTGACATCTGTCTGTAGATTAACCGATTCTGCACTCAAAAATAGTCTAACCTCCCTGGAACATTCCCGGCAGGCAATGCCAGTCTGTCCTCCTGAGTGGTCCTGTGAACAAGTGTAGGATCCTGGAGACTGAGCTCCAGGGACAGTGGACTCGTCAGGGGTACAGGAGCTGAGGCCGCAGCAGGCCCCTGCTAGGGACCTCAGGACCCTGTGCCTGAGTGTGTTGCATGGGTCAAGCTCTGCCTGACATTTTCCTTCTTTTTCTAGGACACCGTGATCCTGACCAATTTGACTGCGCTGCACAGGGACCCCACAGAGTGGGCGACTCCAGACACATTCAACCCAGAGCATTTCCTGGAGAACGGACAGTTTAAGAAAAGGGAATCCTTTCTACCTTTCTCACTGGGTGAGTTGTGCTGACCAGGAGTAAGATCACAGGAGTTCCTCCCTCAGGTTTTCCTCCTCTTCTCTGTAGTCCTTCACAATAGGATTCTTTTAAGTGGTCTGGCCCAGCACGACTCCATGTTGTTTTTGTCTGTGGCCCAGCTGTCCCTGGATTCCATATTGGTTCAGATCCTGCCTAAAACTCAGTCAATCCCTTTCTTCTGATGGAGTTTTCATCTTTTCTGTGATCTGTTCTCCACAATAATAGGGATGGAGGACAGAGACCCACATCCTGACTCTTTTGCATCTGCCATCTTCATAGGGTGGTTAATTGTCACAGATTCCTCTCAAGTTCACAAATTCAGCTCAGGCAAAAATGGAGATGATATTTAAATATGGAGATTGGGAGGTGGTGAGGGAGAAGGGCTAATATACTCTGCATAGGGGGGTTAGACTGTGATTTAAATACCACTATGTTAAGCAGATTAGGTTATATGTTATAAGAAATTCTTGAACACTTCTTTTTGCTTCTATAAATTTTAATTACCTTCTAGAGCTCAGTGCATTAAATGTATATTTTATGCAACATATGCATTTGAAAGGCTAGGTCAATGAAATCTCTTTTTCATTTTCAGTCTACATTCAAATGGCTTAAGACACCTAACATCATAAACTCAGTAGCAAATTATCTTGTTATATAGTCCAACCATTTTGTTGTAAATGTTGCATGAATTTTCAAAATAATATAGCAAAATTTTTACATACATACTTAGCAAACGTCTATTATGTGTTATTCATCCCTGAGGATATAAAGATGAATTAAATAGAAAACAAAAGAAAGTTTCTGTCATGGAACACATGCCCCAGTGTAGTGATGGCAAACCTTTTAGAGATGGGTGCCCAAACTACTCCCCAGAACACACTTATTTATTGCAAAGTGCCAACATTGCAAATAAACCTGAATATATAGATTTTAGTTTAGAAAAACCAACTCATACAGTAACATCCTTTGTCTTAAAAGGAATACAAATAATACACATGCTAGAGATTGTGCACCGCTGCTCTGGTAAACCTTACAAGGTTCAAATTACCATCATTACTTTGGAGATAGGGAAAGTGAGGCATAACCAAACATGGGAATTATAGTCAAACTCTTGCTGCTAGTGACACTGAGGCTTACAGTGGGATGAGGTGGGTCTGCCTACAAGGTGATGTGATTCCAGTGTTCATGATTTTTCTCTCTGCTGTGCCTCCCTGGATGTGTCTGGGCTGATTCTGATTGTATCCTCTGTCTTTGTACACATAGTTGCAGGTCACCTTGGCACACATTGAAAAGTCACTTCTAATGTGAAAGCTTGTCTCAGATGTAGGAGTACCTTCCAGGCTTCCTGTTCATAATGATATCATGTTTTGTCTCACCGCACAAAGTTTCAGATGCACACTTCAATTATTATAACCATTCTTGTTCATGGCATTAGATCGGTGAGAAGCTGATCCCGTAGGAATATGGCCCCTTGCTCATTCCACAAAAGTGCTTCATCTTATAATTGCTGCACCTCTGCTGACAGGAATCTACATGGCTTCCATACCTTTAAAAGAGAAAAGGATCCTCCTCTGAGCCGTGTGATGCCCACCTGCATGTCATTTCTTTACTCTTCTGCATAGCTGCCTTATGTTTCACCATTTTAAAAAATACTTTTCATCTAAATTTGCTGTAGGATGAGGACATAGAGATGCTATGGTCCTTTGTAATTCAGAGCTTTGTTACACTCTCGAGCATAAACTTTGCAAACAAATTGTCTCATGAAATCCTTACAGATGCGTAATTACTAGTAATTAGATTAGACTGGAAATGGATTATATCTTCTTTTTAATGTAATCAAACTAAAAATGACAGAATCGTGTCATCTCCAACACATGTGCCCCCAAAATAAGCAGTACAGGGCCTAAGACTCAAGATTTTATGCTTGTAGTCTAGTGCTCTCTATAATACACGTAGAAGACAGTGTATTTATCCATTTTAAAGATTTTCAGTTTAAAATTCACTGAGTTCATACCATAAGTATCATTTAGAATACTGCTGTGTAATAAACCATCAAAAACCTCCATGAGTTAAAACAGTGAGAATTTGTTAGTGCCTACACTGTGCCCGTCAGCTATGTGGCTCTGCTGACCCTGGCTGGGTTCTCTTGCATGGAGAGGAGATCAGCTGGCTCCTTGTTGATCTAAGACAACCTCAGCTGAGACACTGGTGCTCTTTTCACAGTCTTCCTCATCCTCCAGCAAGTCAACTGAGGGAAAACAGAAGCTCATAGGGCCCTTCAGGTGCAGGCTGGGATCTGGCACCATATGACCTCCCCTTCTTTCCCGTGGCCATGCAAGCCATAAGGCCAGGGCCAACTCAAGAGGAAAGAGAATTAATTACTACAACTGTTTATTGGAATAGTGCAGAAGTCACTTTGCCGCTGTGGTGCTGGCAAGGCAAGCAGTAAATTGGAGGTTTGTTTTGTTTTGTTCTCACTGTCTCTCATTCTGATTGAGAGTATAATTTAGACAGCACAGGCAATTTGCCTTGGGTTCTCAGCAAAGATTTGACAGCATGAGGCTCAGTAAAATTGTAGAGACAAAAACCTAAAAGTATTCAGTAGGTTAACAAAATATGTCTTGTTTTTCTAGCACATTTCTATCTTTGACATATAGTTCCTTTTCCTCATGCTTTTTTTAGAATTTCCTACAAACATCTGCTTTTGAAGCAAGAAGTGCAGACATCTGTTTCTGTTCTTGGAAAAGGTTTGTAACCTCTGAGAAGTCAGGCAGGTGCAAAGCTGTTACTACACATTCAGATGCTTTTGTGCTCATTGAAGTCCCCTCCTTTGAGCCATCCAAACAACAGGCAGCTTCATGATAGTCAAGAGTCTAGCTTCTCATATCCAAAGGATGTTGTAGGATCCTAGACGACTGGGTTAGGAAAAGAACTTTACTAAACACATTATTGATCTTGTTGGTTAATAATGGAATAAATTATAAGTATCTGTCATCCCAGGCCAAAGCTTTGAGGTGGAATAGTCCTAGTATTCATCATTTTTAAAGCAAATGAATACATGTCATCTATTGGAATCTTTGCGTAGTCATAGAACACTAGTCAGACAGAGAGATCTTTGACATGAGAGAAAGATGTCCCTTTAGGAATAGTTTCATCCCAGTCACACAGTGGTCACTGATGTAGCTAGTTCTTTGAACCTTGTTCTTGACTCTGCAGGTCTAGTTTTTTTTTTCCAGTATTGGGGAATGAACTCAGGGCCTTGTGCTTGCAAAGCAGACACAGTGTGACTGAGCTAAATCCCCAGCCCTGCAGGTCCACTTTTGACATAATATGTGGATTGCTTTGACAGGACCTTGGAATAACTGATTTTGTATCATTATAACAAGTTGCTAATCCTACTATATGTGAAGGGTACAACATAAAGATAACAACCTTCATGAATTAGGCACACGGCAGTGCAAAATAACAGGCACAAAGTAACAAAACAATGACATAGGTACCAGTTAAAATCAGATTTACTGAGCACTTTTACTGCCTAATCTAATTTCATTCCCTCAGAAAACTGTAATAGAGAGAACAAAATGGAAGCATGCATACATTAAAAAATTTCCAAAAATATTTACTGACGTGGATAAAGTCAAAGTTACAACAAAACCATATAGGATTAACTGCAGAGAATAATGTTTGTTACAGGGAAATCACCACTGGGACAGTGAGGAAATACATCAAAATATTAATAATTGTTTGACCAGGATTTTAGAATTGCAAACATCTTTATCTTCTTTTCACATTTGCTTTCATTTCCATTTTATTCAGTGTATATGTATAACTTAGGAAGAATGAAGGGTTTTAAAAAGTACATAAGAAAGTGTGGACCATCACGGGGCAGTGGAGAAAGAGGGCATTCACTCAGGGAAGGTGGTAGCAGAAGCCCAGATCAGATTTTGGATGAGAAGCAGAGGTCACCTATGCGAATTCTGGGGACAGCTTGATAGATACAGAAGTGAATACAGACACAATGTGGGGATATATGCCCACTTGATCAAATACTCATTTTAGCGATACAGATCTGTCTCAGATTTATCTGCTGAGATGACTTAGGCAGCAATATCCTGGGAGAAGTGAGCCTGCCGACCCAGATCTGTATTTCTCCATATCATTTGCCAACAAAGGAAGTGAGGACTTTAAAAATAATGGTGTACTTCGTACTAGGGAAGGGAAGCTAAGATATGTCTGCAAAGTATTGTTGTGTCAAAAGTCAGGAAATGACTTGAATGAGCATCTGATGGCCATTTTGAGCATGAGATGTTTGCTGGACTGTTTTGAGCATGAACAAATAATGATTAGGAAGAGATTGCAACCCTTTGGATGGCAATAGGAATCCATGGATCTATACAGATATCAGTATATGATTGAATAAAAAATCATGATTTGGTAGCAATCCTTAATAATTAATTAGGCCAGAAAATACCAATAGAAACCAGTGAAGGAAAGTGCAGTGAGGATTAACTTAGTCACATACCTTCAAAATATTTTCAATTTCCAAAACCAAAGAAATAATTTTACAGGGAGACCTTGGTAGATATCAGCTTAATCAAATGATCATCAGTAATAAGACTAAACCAGATTTCTTGCCATGTGGTAAGAACAAATGAGAAGCCAGCATATTCCTACCCCAAGTTACAGAACCTCATAGCTTGACTGGATTCATGAGGAAATATGGACACCTTTACAAAGTAACGGGTCTTTAATGCTTAAAAATTCCAAAACCGTGAAAGTGGCATAAAGAATAAGGAATTATTCCATGTTTCAGGAGACTAAAGGGCCATGAAAGCTGAATGCAATGCATGGTATTAGAGAACTTTTTCACATAAACCTTTAGACAGTAGATGAAGAGTTTGCTTATAAACATTTGTCGATTTATATTTACCTTATGTATGCATTTTAATAGTTATTTCTAGATTACTTGTGAAAACTGAATCGGACAAGCAGAAGATCTTTTCAAGGCCTTGCCTTATCACAGAAAAATCTTCAAAGTTAAATTATGCTCCTTGCAATATAGACACAAACCGATTTTACGTAGTTTTACATTAAAATCCCAGCTATGACACAGATAATATAGCAAAGTGGATTTACCAAATTTTTTTTAAAAAGAGTCAACTCCAAATTGTATTTGTGACACAATTAAATAAATTGAGACCTATCCACATGGTCTAAGGCTAACTTTCCATAACTCGATTATGAGTTGCAGTCATGTGGTGTTTGATATGCTTCTTGTACAGTGTTTTCTTTGAGCTAAGGATTAATTCACAGATGTTTACATTTTAGCTACAGCTGGCTGGATACTAGGTTTCCAGGTAACTCTGAATAGCAAAATTACTTTAATACAAGAAGAAGACAGAAAAGAGAAAATATTGACAGAGAAACCTTTATATTATATTAACCCTCTCAAGACACTTTGTGAAAAAGAGAATCCTGACAGCCACACAGTCGTTCACTCTGGGGCAGCATCTGCAAGCCCAGGTCCAGTGTTCACACATCAACCCGACAGTCACCAGAGACATGGTGCTAGATGATGCGAGCTTTTGAACCAGACTTGGGGAAAGAGGCTGGGCCAGGTACTGCAAGCACACACACTCCTGCATGGAGAGT